TTCCTCAGTGGAGCAGGCTTCCTCGGGGGGTGGGGGGGCTCTCCTTCCTGGGAGGTTTCCCAGCAGAGGCTGGATGGCCACCTGACAGCAATGCTGATTGTGTGAACTTGGGCAGATCGTGAGTGGGAAGGCAGGAAGGGCTGCCTCAATGCTTAGTTCTCGTGGCCCTTTCTGACACGCCCAGGGAAATGCCGATCGCCACTTTGGGGTCAAGCAGGAATTTTTCTGGCCTGGAGTCCTGGAGATTTTTGCCTTCCTCTGGGCATAGAGCAGGGCTCACTGGAGGACTGGTTGGGGGAGGTAACTGTTAGTTTCCTGCATAGCACAGAGGGGTGGACTAGATGACCCTTGGGTGCCCTTCCAGCTCTATGTTCCTAACCACCATTAGTGTATGTGAGGGATACCCCAGTTCTGGCAAGCCTTTGTGTCATGCCCGGCAATTAGAGCATGTCTTTCTACCAACCCTGTCAAAGCATCCTTGTTGCTCAGTTGCACAGTCAAGTCCGACTCTTCGCAACCCCATGGACCAGATCACGCCAGGCCTTCTGGTCTTCCGCCGTCCTCTGAAGTTGGCTCAATTTCATGTTTGTTGCATCTATGACACTGTCTGACCATCTCATCCTTTGCCGTCCCCGTCTTCTTTGACCTTCAATCTTTGACCTTCAATCAAAGCATCCTAACGACAGCCTAATTTGGGGGGGGACCCATTATTCCCCCAGCTTGCCAATGGGCAATCACAGACTCCGCCTCCTGATCAGGGGTCTACTTCCTAGAGGCTCCAGAAGACTTGGCGGTTCTCCTGAGAAAATAGCCTGTGTGTCCCTACGACTCCATCCCCACGGTGAGGATTCTCTGCTTTGCATTCACTGCCGGTGAGGATTCTCTGCTTTGCATTCATTGCAAACACAAAGGCATGCACGTTGACAACAGAGCTTCCGCGCGGGAGTTTCCTGTCTCAGCTGCTGTTTTCCCCTGTATTCCTCCACTGAACCACTGGAAGGTTTTTTGGGGACTTAAAGAAAATCAGTCATCGCTATAGCGTTAGTAGAAAAGAGCAAGGTTGTGTTCGTCTTTAAGGTGCTGTTGGACTCTTGCTCTTTTCTGCTGCTACAGATAGATGAAGGCTGATTCTGCTCCCATCGGTCTCCTCGCAGTTTTTTCACAGCCACGTTGGAAGGTTAATCTCGCTCTACACTGCATGTCGCTTTCGCTTTCTTTGCTCATCGGGTT